TTCTCTGCCGGAAATGTTGCAAACAAGCTGAACAAAAACCAAAAAACGATTTTATCTTTTTCTCTCCTTTTTGTACTATCAGTGGAACGATCGTCACAGACCTGACCAACATTTGATTAACCACCGTTAACTGCTGCATGTTATTGAAACAGACGTGCTTAGACTTTTATTGTTGTAGATCTACAATCATTTGGTCATTTAAGGTCATGAAACGAAATCAGTTTGCCTGATTTCATATCTTCAGAATTGTTTGAAGAGTTCAGAACTCAAAGATACTGTGTTTAATGTGCTGTGAGCTGAGAAGCAGCAGGTTAGTGATGAAAACCATTTATTAACTCCTCAAATTAGTTCCTTAGTCGTCTTCTATTGATTAACTATCTAATGGTTGCGGCTGTATTAAAGTGTCATCATTAATCTTGTCAGATCTGTACTAAACAGGTTAATGATGCTGAATATTTTCCTTTTGTTCACACAAACATGCATAATTCAAACACAACAAACCAACAGGGTCCCAACCCTGGTCAATATTAGACGTTTGTCTTTATTTATTATATTTACTCAGTCATGAAACTGCTCCCTTTGAAATATTTGAACACATGACGCCTCCGGCACATGTTGAATGAAACAAGCTCCATTGTGAAATGTGGGGATATTGCTTAATTTATTCTATATATAAAGTCTGTGACATATGGTGTGAGCAGATTTCCCTCCAGGTGTTTTGATGTACGATGATAAATACTGCTCGTCTATATCGCAGCTATAAAAGACCTGTGAGCTGATTTCTAAATCGGGATCACAAAAAGCTAATTATCATCACAGGACGACCCATATTTTGTTCTCAGTTCAGTGTAATATATTCATAGCTTTATTAAGTATGATCAGATGCTTCTAGTAAGACTTTTAAAATCATATACGTGGCTGCTCTCGAGCTGGATGATGCTTTATTTTTTAGAGATGTTAAAGTTTGACAAAGTTCTTTTTCCTTAAAAAAAAGATCTGGGCCGGACTGCTCTCTTCTTTCAATATCCTCTAGTAGAGCCTGACAGAAATATCAGTAAGCTGATGTGAAAATGTAAAAAGTATTTTACTCAGTGATATTAGCACCGGCCTTATCCTCTACTTTAATTTCCTCCTGTTGCAGCCCTCCTTAAATCTCTAGAACTTAAGTAGACGTGTTTCTTTTCAGTCGTCCTCCTCCCGTGTGTTTCCAAACCACAGAGAGAAGTAACACAGTACATTAAGTTTCTTCTTCATCTTTGGTGTTTGGCTGTTACACAAGGCTGTGATACAAAGACTGGCTCTGAGACGAGGGGATTGCACTGGTTGAAACCTGCTGGTTTAGTGTCAGCGTTAGAGGGAGAATGTGTGTGGAAGGTTAAAAGTTTCTGACAATTCAGCTCTCGAGTCACCATGTTCACTTCGAAATGTTTTTCTTATCACCTACAGATATTCAATTAACCTGCATCAACTATAGTGGCACATTCAGGAGAGCACTTCTCTCAGCCAAGGTCAAATTATCCTACACTTTAAAATAAAAATATAAAAACAATCTAATCTGCATCCAGATCAAAATTTAAGTTTGGTGTAAGTTGGTTCAGTGTCTTGAGTTTCTTGTGGAGTTGACGAATGACGAAATTGTTCCAGTTTTAATTAACTAGTATTTTCCAAGTTTCATGGAATCTATTGAATCGTTTTCAAGGTTTTTCACGCTGGTCACGGCTGTTAAACTTCATTCCATTCTACCATTTTTGAGATTTTAGATTTACATTGTGAGATAACATCACAACACAACACTGGATGCTTCACCTTTGCTCTAATTTGAATGTGTGGAAAGTTACAGAATGCTCTTCTGTGATTGTTTGTGCCGTCTCCTCACCTGGTCTTGCGAGTCCAACCTGCGTTACAGCTGCTGAATAGTGTCGGATACGATAAATGCTTTAATTTAAGAGTAAGAAACTGAATAGTTTAGTAAAACAAACAACAAATAGAAAAATGATGTAGGTGTTTATTTAAAAAAAAAAACTAGAGCAACATAAACTGAATAAGATAAAAGTAGCACACACACTGGTTGTGCCATTCCTGCAGGGCCAGGCCTTATGAAGGAGTGGCGTCCCTGCACCTGTGGTCGACTGGTTCTCATGGGAACACCCAGATAGGTTTGAATCAGCATTTGGTGGATGGTGAGGATAGATGAGCTGGAGAAAGGGGCCACAGCCACAACACGGAGGGATTGTGTTGATCCCACATTCACCCTGAGGATAAACCTTTCAGAAATGACTTTCTTTTTTACTGTGGCTGAAATAATCACAACAATAATCTCAATAATAATCTCTCCATATGTGGTTCTCCTGAGCCCCCTGGCTTGTTGATAACCAGAGGGGAGATTATGCATTGTATGACGCTGAACCCCACATAGACGTGGGTTATCTGTTAACAGCTTGTTCACGGAAGCTAATGGAAAGGATGCTAGGTGTTATTTGTTATTTTTACATTTGTGTTTGAGAGCTGAATCTAAAGCTGCTTTCAAACAGGCACGGAACTAAATTTGTATGTGGAAATGCAAATGTCCGAGTTAGTTGCTCCAGAACTTTTTTACTGCCGGCCCTCTTAGTAAAAAGTCCAGAAACAGACGTGAAACTGAAAGGATGTAGGAAGTATCTCAGGAGGAAAAAGAGGAGCCACGCACCTACTAGACGTTAATGTACATGTCAACTTGGAAAGAAAACAGGATTTGAAAGCTACTGGTGGAGTCTTATAATCTTTATTATTGACCTTGTGGCTGCAGGGTTACTTTGCTGTCTTAGGACTAATTGAGGATTATTCATAAAGGAAACATCGGAAATTCCTCAAAGTAGGAATTACTCCAACGGTTTATTCAAACAGCCTACCAAACAAGGCACCCTCGTTCAAACAAGAGGAACAAGAGGAACAAGATTGTCTCAAGGTGAAGCACTGACAGGCTTGTCTGGACTGACAGGCTTGTCTGGACTGACAGGGCACTCACGCCCCTTAGCTGCTGTTAATGTGAAACTCGTTACATGTGTTTAGTGTTTTATTTTTAAGGGAGTAACAGAGAAAAACCTCTGGGGCTAATTTAGAGACATGTTCGTCTGGGACCCAACCTTGCTCTCCATATCTGGAAGTTGTTGGATGAATGCCTAGCCTCCCATACATCGACCTTGTGGCTGGCAGCCAAAGATACGCATAGTTTTCTCCATACGTCAGTCTCTGCACTCCCCGTGAACTGAGCCTGTCTAACATGGTATTTCCTCTTTCTTCTTGCCCCACCCGATGGCTCGAGCAGAAATGAGAGAACATGATCTTATTGCGATCATATCCTCCTGACAAACGACACAATGCAGCAGAAGTGGACGGGTGCACGAGAGATCAGAGGCAGCCTCTCCCAGGGCTGCTTCAAAGTGCAATGTGGAGCAGCTCGTTAAGTAAGAATGCAGGC